CAGACAGGTGTCTGAGTGTGTGGACAGCAGTTTGACTCTTTAATTGTCCTCAGCTCAGCTCCGCGGTGAGCAACCGAGCTACCTGAAAGGAGACAACTTCTTCAAGTTCCTCTGCTGCGACTGCTCCGAGGACGGCAAGGAGAGCTTTGAGAGGATGAGGCTCACCTGGCAGCAGGTACGACAACACACACACACACACACACACACACACACACACACCTGGTACGTGTGGTTTTCAGCAGCTGTGTGTCTGGTTCAGGTGGTGATGTTGGCCATGTACAACCTGTCTCTGGAGGGGACGGGCCGGCAGGGCTACTTCAGGTGGAAGGAGGACATCTGCGCTTTCATTGGCCGACACTGGAACTTCCTGCTGGGAACAAGGTCACCTGACGTTAACCCTCTGAGCAGTTTCTGGACTAACGTTCCGGCTTCACATAATGTTTGAGTGCCAGTCACACCGTTGGTTCTGTCTGTTCGGTGACGGGTTCTTCTTTTTAGCAAACCTTTCTAGTTCATGGCTGATGAAGTTAGTTGACTCTTTGTGAATCTTGTATGTTTGAGCCGTCTCTGCTCTCCTGGCGGTTCGCAGGAAGAAGACGTCGACGTGGTGGAGCACAGTGGCCGGCTGCCTCTCGGTCGGCAGCCCCACCTTCTTCAGATCGGGAGCTCAGGAGTTCGGGGAGCCCGGCTGGTGGAAGCTGGTCCAGAACAGACCTCCGACGCTGCGACCGGAGGTGGACAAATCCACCACCAAGGCTAAAGGTAACCTGCAGTCAAATGGCAGCGTCCAGGTGAGAGGTTTTCGCTGACCTGAACTCTGTTTTGACCTGCAGCTTCCAAACCCACCGTGGACCCGATCATCACCGTGGAGGGTCTGAGGAAACGAGGCGCCAGGAACCCCGTGGAAAACGCCATGCAGCTGAAGGAGAAGCGCTCTCGCACCCAGGAGGCCAAAGAGATCCGGCGTGCTCAGAAGGAGGCGGTGGGCGGCTACACCGACCGCAGCGCCTCGTCTACGCCCGTCAAACTGGGCGGAGGTCGCGGCAGCAGCAGCACCGTGCGCCGCCCTGATCTGGTTCTGGAGAAAGGCGAGGTCATAGATTTCTCCTCCCTCAGCTCCTCGGACCGAACGCCGCTCACCAGCCCATCGCCGTCTCCTTCGCCCGACTTCTCCGCCCCGGGAACGCCGGCCTCCCACTCAGCCACGCCCAGCCTGCTGTCAGAGGCTGACCTCATCCCTGACGCCATGCCGCCTCAGGCGTTGTTCCACGGTGAGTCAATGCCAGACTTGTCCAGACGTCGTCAGGTTCTTTTAGGGGGCGCTAATGANGGGTTCAGCTCGGAGGCCCTCGGCCTCTGAAACATGACCGTCAGCAGCCATCCTGAGTCCAGCTCTTTGTTGAGCTGTCGTGTTCTGGCTCATTCTCATGGCCTCATTTGAGCCCAACCCGGACTCAGTTCATAATTAGACCCGACCCAAATAGACACCAGTCAGTGAACAGCTGAGAGGACAGAACCGCCGCCCTGGGCTGTCCTGGTTCTGCAGGTCAGAGGCGGTTCTGAGCGGCCGGACCGGAGGCTGAGGGTCCAGGTGGTTTTTTGTATCTGCAGTATTCGATGTTCCGGATCGTTGGTTTACTGCTGAAGGTTCTGAAGAGTCAGCCGCTGCTCTTTGCTTTCTTAGTTTTTTAAATTGTTGAGATGTGAACAGAGGAATGTGAAGCGAGCTGAAAGCAGCTGAAGCGTGGACAGACCGAGCTGTGTGTAAATAGCATCACTTCACGCTTTAATTTGTTGCTGTGACTATTTATTTTTACTTTGGTTCCGTGTGTACAGTGAAACATTCGTCCTATTTATGTTACTTGATCAATAAAATTGGCTTTCATCTGTCCAGTTGTTGTCTTTGTGTCTGTGGACCCGGTGATGGCAGAACCCTGAGCTCAGACCTGTCGGAACCAACGAGACACGGTCTGAACGACCTGACTGGAACCGTGCGAGTCCGTTAAACACACATGAAACCACAACGACAGTCGCATTAAAACGCTGCTTATGCTCCAGCCTGGACACTCCTGCAGAACCAGAGCAGAACCAGAGCAGACCTGAGGACGTCCAGCAGGCGGCGCGATGCTCCGCGTCGCTGCTGCCAGTAAACGTGCAGCAGAAGAAGAAGCAGCGGCGGAGCCAGTTAGCAGGTGGCTAGCGTGAAGCTAACACCACCGGGATGTCTACAGCCTCTAAAGTGGTTCTGGGAGTTTCTGTGGTTCTGACTCTGAGCACTGTGGCTGCCGTCCATCTCAAACAGTCCTGGGACCGACAGGTAAACCGGTCCGGACCGAACCGGTCAGCTTGAGCTAGCGGCAGGCTAACCGCTAGCTAACGCTTAGCTGAGGAGGGAGGGAGCGGGGAGGTCACAGGACGGTAGCGGACTGATTCATCCTCTAAAGTCAAACCTGCCGGTGTGTAACGGACAAGCTGCAGCCCATCGCCCGGTACCGAGCCCGCACTTAAATTAGAAATGCGATAACACAGGGAGTTACCGTGTTGAGCTAACGGCTAGTAGCGACACAGGTGCAGCTTTTCAAAGTAAAAGCTTGAGGTGCCCCCTGCACCTGGCTCAGCTTCTCATTTACAAGCTGTGTTTGACACAGAGATGGCTCATCTGAGAAACGGGTTTGTGTTTGATTCTGCTTGTAAAATAATGACTCCTCTCTGAAAACAGCTGCAAACGTGTTATCTGCTGATGAAGTGGTGATTATTGTCTGGATGAATCAATCAGCTGTTTGGTCTCTAAAATGTCTAAAATAAAGGCATCAGTGTTCCGTCAGATGTCTTGTTTTGTCCAAAGATGTTCAGCTTCCTGTGGTTATAAAAGCTGGTCGTTCATCAGCGTGAACATCTGAGCACCTTTGCTTTGGTGATGAAACGCCGAGCGGGATACCTGGATGAGGTGAACAGAGAGTGAGTTCAGGTGCTCTTGCTGTGTGCAGCGTCTCCACGAAGGTGTCGTTCGAGATCTGGAGCGTTTCGAGAGGAAGAAGGAGAACCTGAGGCTGCTGGAGGAGCAGAGGGTTCTGACCCGACAGCTGGAGGAGGAGAGGCGGCGCAGGGAGACACAGCTCCGCCCACAGGACACCTGAGACGGGTAAACCCTGCGCTACACCTGTTCACACATACAGCACATCCGGCTGTGCAGCATTCGTTACCATGGTGATCCAGCTGAGCAGCATTGAAAACTCCTCCAACCTGCCGAGTCACTCGTCTCTCTTCTTGGTTCAGCTCTCTGCTGTGTTACCTGTCCAGGTGTGCTCCTGTACCTGAGGCGCAGGGATGGACAGTAGCAGTGAGCAGCTGGTCGGGGGGGAGGACGAGGCGGCCTGTACGTCGGCGTCAGAGGGTCTGGAGGAGGGGGAGGTGGAGGGGGAGACGCTGCTGATCGTGGAGTCGGAGGACCAGGGCTCCGTGGACCTGTCACATGACCAGAGCGGCGACTCGCTGACCAGCGACGTGGGCGAGGAGGCCGACGGAGGCTGGGCCTGCGAGGACATGTCCTTCTACTGCGACCGCTGCCACAAGTGGATCCCTGCAGGTGAGCCAGCCACCAGA